TTCGTGTCATTGCCTCTCTCCTGCCTTTCCACTCCGAAGCCACCCCGCGCTGCTCTCCCAGCCACGGTCCTGCAGTCTCCCTGCCGTCGGATGCACAGCACGCGGGGCGGGAGGTGTGGGAACTGGGCCAGGCGGCCTGGGTCACAGAGCGCACCCCGGGCACAGTCAGTATTAGAACTCAGCTCTCCCGAAGCTTGGCTTTCCCAGCGTCACATATTCTTAGCCTACAGGGCCCAAACAAGCGAAGGGAGAATCTGGTAGTTTTGGTGTGGAGCGGTCGGGGGAGGAGGCATCTGTGGCAAAGTAGCACCGGCTTGCCCAACTGTGGGCCCTCCTGAGGCCTCGGATCCACTCGGCACTCAGGAGTGACGGTGCGGCTATCTTTCCAGGATGCCATTTACTGGCTGGTGACGCGTGAGCTCCCTGCTCAGTTCAGCCCGACACGGGCCTGCTTCCTACCTGTCTCTTTTCCTCCTGCCGCACACCACCGAGAAGTCACCAGGTGGCGCCCTGCACCCCTCCCGCAGGGACTCCTTTCCCAGAATGCGCATGCCTGAGGTACCACCATCTCTTGCCCCTTGAAATCACCCTCTAGCAGCTGCTGTCTCTCCTCCCAGCCAGCAGCCTCATTTCAAGGTGTTTAGCAGCAAGCACTTTCCCACCTGTTCTGCTTGGGTTCCAGGTCAGCGCCTGCCTCCTGCCTGCAGAGCTCTGTGCCACCATAGTCTCAGAAGGGCTGGAGTGGGGGCCGAGGGAGGCTGCATTTTCTCAGTGTCATAAATGAGGTCCTGCAGATGTTCCACCCATCGGGCCCCTCCATTTTGGGCTGGATGTGGAGACCCCTAGCAGTGCCTGGTCTCCTCCTGCAGCGCCCTGATACTTCCTGGGCAGACACAGCCCAAAAAGCCAGGTGTCATCCCTGAGCCCTGGGGAAGGGGCCCCAGGATGGAGCGTTCTCACCTCTACACGCTCCTCCCAGGGCAACTTGTCCTCAGTCCCCAGTCTGGGTAGTATGCAGCAGGCTTTCCTTCACTTAGAGGCTTCTACAGCTGTCAGCGCTGGTGTGCAAAGGCTGAGCCTAATTCTTTCCTCTGTGCCCGCCAGTACCTGTACATAGTAGGTGTTCAGTGCATGTGTTGAATGAATGAATGAATCAATCAATCAATGAAAAACATGACTCCTTGTTACTTTTCAGTAAGGACTTTATTGGATGTCTACAATAGTCTGCAACACAAAGATATTCTAGTGTCTGTGTCGAAAGGACAGACTTTGGGGAAGGCAGCCTGAGCCTGAAGCCCAATTCTTTCATTTACTGCTTGTACTGCTTTGGGGCAAGTTATAGAACCTCTCTGTGCCTATTTTTTTGTTTGTTTGTTTTGTATTGTTTTTGGTTTTTGTTTTGTTTTGAGACAGGGTTTCACTATGTAGTCCAGGCTGGCTTTGAACTCACTATGTAGCCAAGCTGGCCTTGAACTCACTTTGTAGCCCAGCTGGCCTCAAACTTGCATCGATTCTCCTGTCTCAGTTTACCAAGTGTTGGGATTACAGGTGTGCACCACCACACCCAGCCCTGTGCCTGTTTCTTTAGTTGGAAAATAGCGGTTATCATACAGTGCACCTCCCAGGATTGCTATGAGGAATGAGTCAGTACAAATAATATGTGCGTATGACAAGAGCCTGGCATGTAGTGGGTGCTAAGTAAATGTCAGTCATTATAGCAGTAGTACAGTTGCTGCCTGTGCCCTACTGTCATGCTAGACACTGAGGAAACAAAGGACCCACCATCTCCATTCCTGCCTCCCAAAAGATGTGGTACAATTGGGATCCAAAGCCACAGGAGGAATGAAGTTAGGATGATGGGGAGCTGCTGGGGTAGGGGGAGTTGGGGTGGAAGATTCCCCAGGGGGAGTAGGAGCCACTGAAGAAAGGCCCTGGAGAAATGTGACTTAGCAGGGCCTGTAGAGGCCTCAGTGGAAGGAGGAAGCAGGCAGGTGGGCTCACAAGCTATGGGTCCTCCTGGGGTGCAGGGGGCCACCAAGGGCCAGCTGAGAGGGGACACGGAGATGCCCTGCAGGTCAGGATTCTGGCCCTCCCGCTGCTCCCGTCTTGGAGAGCCACTTCCTCCAGCGCTGCTTGCTGAAGCTGTGCAGAAGGCAAGAGGCTGGTGGTGCCCATAGGGCTCTCCATGAATTCGCAGAGAGACAGGGATCTCCAATGGTCCTGATCAAGTTCTCCAGAAGCTTTGGGCTGATTTCCTCAAAAACAGTCCCCAAGCTGGAGGACCTCGGAAGTCATTTAGAAATCAATTCACATTTGACTCACCCAAATGGAACACCATGAGCTGAGCTGAGCTAGGGTTTTGTAAGAATTAATCAGAAGGCCAGAGGTGGTGGTGCGTTCCTTTAATCTTGGCTGCTCAGGAGACTGAGGCAGGAGGATCCAAGTTTCAAGTCCAGCCTGGGCAGTTTAGCAAGATCATGTCTCCAATTTTAGTATATGTGCTGCTGAAGCGAGCACAAGACCATGTCTCAAAAAAAAAAGCTTGGGGTGTAGCTTAATGGCAAAACACTTAGCAAACATGAAACCTGAGGTTCAATCTCTAGTGTTACAAAAAAAGTGATTGGAAGGTGGAGGCAGGGCCCTTGGGAAATGTGGCCTGGGAACAGAATCTCCAGCTGTGACTAAGGACGTCTCCTCACACCCTTACTCCCAAATGCAGACTTGCAGTTCCCAGAAATCATGGGCTGCTGCCTCTACACATCCCTCCTTCCTCTACTTCCTCCCACAGTCCTGCCTGTCTGCCTGGCCTGCTCCTATTCATTTTGCCTGATCCAGATGTCACCCCCTCTGGGAAGTCTTCCAGGCCACCTGTGGTGGGGAGAGAGCTCCTCTAGGCATCTGTCGCACCTTGTCCTCCCATCACCATGAAATCGCAACTGTCCAGTTTGTCCTCTTCCCTGTGTGCTCCCGGAGGTCAGGTACTGGGTCTCATTCATCTTTGCACTCCTTGCTCCAGGCATCACGCCTGGCATGGAGTCAGCATCAGTGACTGTTTGAGGAATGAGTGGACTCACTGGGCCAGCCCCAGGCATAGTGAGAGGATGGAGGGTGGAAGCAGAGCCAACATCAGCAGCTCACCCGCAGGTGCCTTCCACTCCCACCAGGAGGCTCACGCTGGTTGGTGAGCAGGTCCTTGACTCTGCCTCCTCACTGAGGCACTCAGATAAGGCAAGTGCGGTCCTCTCTGATCATCTCTCCTTTTTTTCCCTGGGTGGGGGTCATTCCTCAAGCATCCTGGTGAGTGTCCTCAGGGGCAGGAAGGAAAGAGTTGGGCTTTCATGAGCAATGAGGCCACTTAGAATGCACAGAATATAGAACAACCAGGGCATTTGAGGGCCCACGTGTGTGCACAGTGACAAGAGTAATCATGATTGTAGGAAAGAACAGTGTCCCCAGGACCTAAAGACTGACTTGTAGAAGGGACATGGTCCAAGGCTCCTTAGGTTCACCTTCCTCCCAAAGCCACTTGGGCTTCTGAAGCCTCCGTAGGCTGTTCATACTTTGCCTAACTCAACACTAGGGCCTGGCCAGAGCAGAGTATCCAATTTCTAGGTGTGAATATTGAGGCACTGAAGAGCTAAGTGTCTTACCCCAGCGCTTGGAGTAGATGCCAGAGGACACCTGACTTCTACTACCACAGGCAGATGACTCCACCTTGCTTTGGGGATCAGAGAGCTGTGCTGCCACGTATGGCCTGCAGGTGTCCCCTGTGCCCCTTCCTCCACATGCATGGCAGCGTGATCAGCGAGGAATGACACCACTGACTAGTAACTGAGGGACCAGTTGACAGAGACAAATGCCTTGGGTAGCCCTGAACCCAGCTTTATGATCTTCTCCGCACCCAGTGATCCTGAGAGCCTAACCTTTGAGACCATCCTAATGACCCATCTTTCTGTCCAGAGCACTCCTAGAAACCTCTCCCAGGGGAGAACTTCTTGAGGACAGAGTTAGCTCATCTTTTTCTTTCTCCATAATGTGTAGCACAGTCCTGGGCCCAAAGGGGATAACTGATGTGGAACAAACACATCCAAAATCTGTGCATTCATTGTCAGTAATTATCAGTGCCTACTAGGTGCTTAGTCCCTGCTAGGCTTTAAGGATATAATGGTGTTAAAAAGATGAATGTGGCATCTTCCCTTTGGAGTGGACAGCCCATGCTCCAGAACGTGCTGAGAATTGGCCACAGCTCCATTTTTCCAGCTCTCCAGCATATCTGAGGCTTCCTTGGTGGTTGCCCTTGGTGTATGTTTGGGGAATACAGACTGTCACACCACTGGCCTAGTTGGAGGTTCCTTGACAGCTCAAGCAGAACCAGCACTGTCTGCCTGAATCCAGCCAACCCTGTGCATCTTTAGGCTACATTAGCATTCATGTCCACTCAGGGCCACTCCCTACAGGACTCCAAGCTTTCCTGGAGGCTCCAGGACTGGTAGCCCAAATCTTCCCAATGTCATAGGGGCTGAAAGGACAGAGGACCCTGGCTGGGCCCCAGGGGCAGTCAGCCCTGGCTGTGGTGAAAAACAGATAGACTCTCTTCTTCATTGTCTTCCCCACGTGCCATCTACATGGGCAGGTGAGTGGCGGGGAGGAAAGGAGACGGAAGTGCCCGTCCCTGGTCTTCACAGGTCCACAGACCCCAGCATCCAGGACCGAGGCTGATATTCACATACTTACCAGCTCCCTGTCAATCACAGCAGGCACTGGGGGAGGCTGCAGCTGTACCCTGGATCTTACTGCTGGAGTGTGGAGGGGTCCCCAAGGAGGAATCTGGGCCAAGATAGAATCCCTTAGGGAATCTGGGCCATGGTTATTTACCAACTTGGACAGAAGTATTTTTAATACTTATTTGAAATCTCTGGAGAGCTAGTCTGACTGGCATCTGTGTGTTCTAGTCCCACCAGTCTTGCTATCAACCATTGTGCCCATACAACGGTATCAAATCCAATTAAAACCACACATTTTATTGATGTTTTTCATCAACAATTTACACAGGGCCATGTGCACAAATGGTACTGAAGTCTCACATCTGGGAACCTCCTCCCCAGTCACCCCAAGGACCAATATCTCCCTCCGTGCCCTATGTCAGACCTCCTGGTGCAGAGTCTCTGGACATGGTAGACCTGGCATCCAAGTTCAAACTCTAGGGCCAAGAGACACCCAAGGCCTGACTTGTCCTGGCCTCTTCTCTCCCCTTTGCCACTTTCACTGCTTGAGTATAGCCAGACGTGGGAGTAAAGGTAAAGGGTAACCCCAAGGACTGCTACATTGGGAAGGCCTGGGGACCCCGTCAGCCCACCACATCCTTCTCCTCCAGGTGAGGAACCACCAAGAAGGCAGAGTGACCATTTGTCTAAGGGTAGGATTCAGGGTGTACAGGGGGCAGTGGCAGGATGGCCCTGATGGCAGGGACCTCATTGTCCTCTTCACCACTGTATTTTAGTGCCTGAAACTTGGCACATAGTTGGTGCTTGATAAATATATGTTCATCTATATGAACAAATGGATGACTGAAAGAGTGAACGTGGGAGGGAGGGAAAAGTGTGAGCAGTTAAGCCATTACAACATTGGTCCTCAAGGGGGAATGAAGACAGGACCTGGGTAAAGTCCACCCAATCTGTGCCCAAGGACTCATGGTTTGGTGCAGTTGGAGTCACTGTAGCCACCCACTGGACACTGCAGGGCAAGGGCTCCAGCCCTGCTGCTTGTGCGGATGTCATATTGTCCTTGGACCCAGTCAGGAGGGGGCACTTGTGTTGTCCCCACTCCCTCATATGCCCAAGGGTCTGCTTCTCTGGGTCCCAGCACACAAAGCAATGCATCCATCCAGAGCAGTCAGATAAGCAGCAACAGTCTGGCAGGTGCAGTCTTGTGTTCTGGTCATTCCCGTCCCCAGCCTTCACTCCCTCATCTCCTCTCTTTGGGTTGAGCAGGATCTGGCTTTTCTGTCCCCACATCTTCCTTCATCTGACCCCAACACTGTTTTGTCTCCCTGTCCTCAAACCCCAGCCCTCCTAACTACTATTAATATCTGGGTAGTCCTGTGTTTGGTGGCTGGGTTGGGTCCAAAAATTTGCATCATGATTTTCAGACTCCTCCCATGAAAACCTACTCTCCATGAAAACAAATAACTCACATCAACTCTGCAGATCTGGCCCCCAGGCCTAGCAGTCACAAAGAGGACACCAGTATCTCAGAGTGAGAAGGAATCTCTACACTCATCTACAACAACCTTGTGCAAAATCCTTTGCACAGCAAGCCTGGCAGATAGGTGCCTAGATCCTGCGGATGCCCCAGTAGTGGAGCACTCACTACCTCCCAGGTAGCCATTCAAGAACTGAATAGCTTCAGCTGCTAGGATGCCCTTTACACGAGGCACGAATGGACCAGGTGCCCCTCTCCTCTCACTACCACCTCTCCCCCCCACCCCCCTGACTTTTTATACAGTCACATGCCTCCCTCACTTATGGGTGGCTCCTCTTTCCCTCGCTTTTCTTCTTTCCCTTCCCAACATCTGGCAAAAAAACAGAGGCTGGAAACCAAAGAGAAGAGCTGGAAGAGTGCCAGGGAAAGGAATCATCCAGCCAAGGTCTGGACTGGGCTGGGGTGGCCAGCTAAGCCCAGCTGGACAGGGAATAGCATCTGGAAATACCAGGCCATTAGTTGCCAAGTCCAGAGAAAGGACTTTGAACCTGGAGGGTGGGCAGCAAGCTCCTGTGCTCTTTCCCTCTCAATGCCACAATCCCCCAGAGGGTAAAGAAACCATACCTGCTGCTTCCTGCCTTCCCTGGCAGAGGGGACTTGGCTGCTTCTCACACATGGTGATGTCAAGCATTTGCCAGCCTCCAGCTGCTGGGGAGTCTTATCAGCAGCAAGAATCCACTGCTCACTCCCCACAGAGGGGAAGGGTTCCAGCACACAGTAGGGACTACAAGAGACATGGTAGGAAGTGGGTGGACCAGGTGGAGTGGGAAGAAGGCTTCCCAAGAAGGGACAAGAGCAGAAGCCACCTGCTGGCTGCTGAAGAGATCATTTTTCCTCCCTCTTACACTGTTCTTCCAGGCTAGGTGGAAGACCTGGGGTGGGTGCACGGACTTTACTAGCCCAAGGTTGTAGTGGGTCATGGATGGCAACAAGGGTGTTATGGTCTTATGTTGAGGAGGAATTGAGACACAGAGAGATGGAAATGATTGAGTGTCTGCCTGCTACTTGTCCTGCGGCTTAGAGCTCTCACTTCCGACATTGAACATGGGAACCAACAGGCCCAGCAGCCACCTCTTCCCGAAGACCTCCTGTAAGTTCTTGCGCCACGGCTGGGCCCTCACTGCCACCCCCTTTCGAGCCTGGTGGCGAGTCTGCCCCCGAAGGATCAACAGCAGCTGGTGGCAGCAGAAGCCGGCGCAGGCCAGGCCGACGGCAAACCAGAGGTAGAGCATGAGGATGACGAACATTTCAGAACCGAGGACAGCTCCTGCGGGGGGAGGGGAAACACCAGAACCGCTTTACACCCAGGCCACGTACTGAAATGCGATCTGGCTGGCGCTTTCCGCTGGGAAGGAGGGAGATTAATGAGACTGAAGCTGCATTTTGTAGCAATCTCAGCGCTGCAGCTAGGGAGAGGAAGGATGAACTAGTTGCTCTAAGTTTTCCTTAGTGCTGATGGCTCCTGAGCCGAGAGGGAACTGCGGACCTGGGGGAGAAGGAAGGCGCTTGATAAGCTCAGCAAGCAAGGAGAGCCCGCAGCTTCTCTGGCTCCAGTCTAGGCGCTGCTCTCATTTCCACACGGGCAGAAATGCCTCTCTGCTTCTCCCTCGGCTAGAAGAGGGAGAAGGGGTTTACTCAGGAGGAGCAAGGGGTGATTCGAGGGCCCTAAAGAGGCAGCCGGCTCACTGTCAGACTGCAGTGCCTTCTCCCTACGGGTCCCCACTGTCTGGGACAACTCTGGAAAGTGACAGCATGATAGAGAACAGGACCTAGTCATCGAGAAGAGCAAGTCACGAGCTCAGTCAGCCTCAAGGGCAGTGCAGCACACCGATGTAGGAAAAAAATTCAGTCATTAACATTAACAAGAGGACAATGTGGCACCAGAACTCTCAGCCAGGGCTGTCCTGTCAGTCAGAGCTTGCTGAGCCTGGAAGAGGCCCCTGAGATTCCCAGGTCAGCCCCGACAGTGGCACAGCGCCTTGCCCTAAGTTTATCTAAACTGAACACTTCCTGCTGTTAATTTTAGTAAGGGATCCCACACACTTCCTGGGAGTTTGAGAGGAGGGTCTGTCCGTGCTAGGTTGGAATCCCCTGGCTGTGTGGACTTGCGAAAGGTTCCTAACCTCCCTGAGCTGCAGTCTGATCATCTGCAAAACAGGTGTAATACTGACAATTCCATAGGGGTGCAGGATACAAGGAAATGATCTAAGAAGTAGTGAGCTTTCTGGTTCACACTTAGTGCAGCTCCCCTGCTGAAGGTCATTCCAAAGGAGAAAACTACATCCAAAAAGTGTTCATATTTAACTCCTAAGGCCATCAAGTTTTCTCTTCTTTTCCAGAGCTTGAAATCTTGGCTAGGCTGCAGCTTTGGCAGCTACAGTAAAGACACCTACCTTAGCTTGCCCAGTAGCGAGCGCAGTGGACCCAGGACAGAGCTCAAAAGCCCTAGCTCTTTGCTCCCTGTAGGGCAATTCCATTACCGCCTTTTCCAGTGAGGGTTTGAGTAGCTGCTCCAGGGACACCACCTTACAACCTATTCTATCCCTGAAAATCCTGACCATCATTCTTCCTTCCCTGACCAACCCTTTGCCCCAGCCCGTCTCTTTTCCAGTCTCCTCATATTCCAATTTCCAGGCCCCTAAAATGCTTTTAACACCTGTCTGGTCTGCTGAAGGGTGGTAGGCTCAGGAACCAGGAAGGATGGGATCTGATTCGGGCTTGCTATTAGCAGTTTCCTCTTCCCTCATCCCTAGGAGCTTTGATAGCAGGGTTTTCTTTGCAGAGTTGGAAGCAAACAAGTACAGCTTCCCAGGAGGTAGAAAGCTTGCTTTACCTGGCATTTGGAGCAGCCCCTCTGCCGACAGAGGCAGCAGTGGGATAGGGCTCACATTAGGCTGTGCCATCCCCTGACCCACTTCTTCCTTGTCAGCACAGATTAGTTTGGGCAGCCACATACAGGAAGGAGGATCCTGGGGCCATGTGTCCTTCAGGCTCGAGGAATGCTGATGGGCAAAGATGGCCCTGGAGCTAGGATATATGAACATCAGAGCTGTCAAGCTCAGGCCTGCCCTGCCACTCAGCCCCAGGAACAAGCCTGGGCGGATGCAAGCTGCTTCCCATGGGTTTTTCTCTGGCACTAAATCAAGGCATGAGGAAAAGACCTTGTGGCCTTTTCCTGGCCCTGTGAAGCAGCTACAAAAGGCTATTCTGGGGACCTGCTTTCTTTCAAAGTGTTTGAAGTTTCCTAGCCTGGCTGCTTGAGCTCCTCTTAACTATTTAATAATAGTTTTGCTTCTTTAAAAAAAAAAAAAACATAGCATTTTCCTATAGGGCTTGAAAGATCACATCATCTTATCTCCCCTGTCTTCTGCCTCTCACCAACTACCTATATCACTTTTGACAGACCATCACCCAACATCTTTAATACACCCAAGGACAAGAAGCTCCCCTCCTCCCAAAGTGGCTCATTTATCATGAAAGAGTATCAGAGAGGGTGCAGTATAGGGGAGAGACTATGAGCTTTGGAGGCAATAGCCCCAAATCTTGAGCTGTGTGGTTTTGAGGCAACTTAACCTTGCTGAACCTTTTGTTCTTGAGCCTTAAAAAATGGTAATACCTACTTCACAGACTTGTCATGAGGACTGGATGGAATGAGACATGCCCAGCGGGTGACACATAACAGGTGCTCAATGAACATCAGTTGCCTTTCCTGCCTATTGAACTTTCCAGTGGCACCTCTCAAATACTAGGACACATGTCAAATGGTGTCATCTCCATTTTCCAGATGAGAATAAGTTGGTGACACAACCTGTCCTGATTCACAAAGCCAAAAGAAAAGACAACTTCTAAAACCTACCTAGCTAGCCCTCTCTTTCTTTGCCATTAGCTGAGGGCTTAGGGTCAGCAGCCACCTTCATATGAAAGACCTCCCTCACCTTTAGCTCTCAGGGACCCATTCACAGCCATCCTGTGCTCTGGTCACAGATCTGACTCAGAATCGGTACCAGAGCTGAGGACAGCTATTAAGTAACTTGTGCCTTCTTATTCTTACCTGCCCACCTGTCATCTAAGCAGGAGAGGGTGTGCTCTCAGGAGTTCGGACTGGCAATCAGTCCAAAGAAGAGTTGGAAAGGAGGAAGCTGAACGAGAGGGTATATGTGGCAGACGGCATTGGAGGAGAGAAGCACTGGGGCAGGGAGGGATGTAACATTAGCAAAGGAGGGAGATGAGATGGGAATGCTGGAGATAAGTCTTGGCCTCCTTTTTCCAGTGGGTGTGGGGAGCAGATGAAGGACAGAGAGACTCATCCTTCCACTCGAACAGGGTCTGGACTTCAAGGTGGGCCCTGACTGGCTCTCTTCTGCCACCAGAGCAAAGCAAGAGGCACTTTCTTTCTTTCCTGTCTCCCAAACCTAGCACATATGGATAGGCCTCAAGCCCAGACTTAGCTCAAATCAAACCATTTCAAGATCCTCTTTCTGGAACTACCCATTTTTATGGCTGGTGAAAGTACTTGGAAAAGGATGTGTGATCAGGTTCTTTGGCTCTCTTCATCCCTCCACCTGCCCGTGCTCACACTCCACCCCCAGCCCACCCACCTACCCTCCCCCAGCCTGAGTATTTTGGTCCTGGCAGCCTCCTATGCCAGCATGGAGATCCAGAAGGCCTCAGAGTTCTGGGTTCTGGGCCCAGCTCAGCCATCAGCCCTCCAGACATCCCCTGTGGCTGGGGCCTCCCTGTTCCTACAGCCAAATGGCACAACAATTCTATGCCTAGGAAGAACTGGGCTGCAGCCCTAACAGAGACTGAAAGGATGGCTTCTCCAAGAGTGGAACAAAGTTTGTGAATGCCCAGCCAACGGCAGTTCTGGTGCATTAAGACATCTTGGGCTCTCAGTGAAAGTAGCTGTGCCCTGCCTTTCAAGGTTCCTAGATGGTCAGTGTGTTCAGGAACATATTCCATCCTCGGTGTTGCTGATGAAGACATTAGGCTGTGGTTTATGGTCCTGGGGACAAACCAGAGGCGGTTGCCCAGTAGTCATGAGACACTGGGAAGGCCAATTAGTTCTTCATCTGAGAAACAGAATACCGGTGCCATACACACATGCACACGTGCAGCCGTATGCACACTACCAACTGTGCAATCAAATTGGTCATAGTCAATGACCAGGGAGAGAAGGAAACAAAGTAGGGGAAAATTTCAAAGCCAAGTAAAATAGTAAGAGCTGCTATTAGAGTGAATTCCTTGAGGCATCCTGCTCTAAATCTAGTCCCCAGCAGGCTGCCCAGCTGAGCACCAGTGTGAAGACCCATATGCCTGGCTCCTGCAGGTGTCAGGGCATTTCAGAGGGTCATCTCCCAGCCCAGACACAAGCTCTGCACTGCGGATATGAAGTCATTAAGCATCCCAGTCTCCAACCAGGATACCCCTGCTCTGAGTCACCCACAAACTGCAGAACAGTGTGGTGGGGTCAAACCAGTAGAGGAGGGAGGACGGGGTTAGACTGCTGCTGAGGCTGGCTTGAGGGTCAAGTTCAATCTTACTGCATTTGGGTGTCGAGGCCTCTGGTGGGCAAAGTCCTTGGGGGGAATGAATTTATGAGGTCCAGGCAAAGGACAGTTATAACATGGGCTACATGGGGGATGTACCTGGCACACAGCAGGTACTGCCTGGCCACCATAATTCTATGGGTAAATAGACAGTATGATAGGTGAGGAAAGGGGGTATTGTCAGATAATACAGCATGTCCAATTACTTTCAATTTCAGATGGGCCACAGTATGTTTTCTTAGTATGGCCCATGCAATGTTGGGATACAATTATAATAAAAATTGTTTATCTGAAGTTTTAATTTATATGGGCATTCTGAGTTTTTATTTGCTAAATCTGGCAAGTCTTAGAGTTGCAGCAGGAGGTCTTATTTGCTGAACCTGCCTGCCAAGGCCCACTCACCGGAGAAGAACTGGCTGATGGAGGTGGGCAGGAGCGTGAGGAAGGCCAGGGGGTGGGCGAAGGAGATGGAGAGGACAGCGGAGATGTAGGCCACACCCGCCACCATGGAGTAGAGGCAGGCAAGGGAGGTGTAGAGGCAGAAGAGGACGAAGTTGCGCATGTTCCTGCTGCCGATGCAGTTGCCGGTGAAGAAACAGTGGTGGTCGTGTCTCAGCGTGACTCGGGCGCACACTCGGCAGAAGTGGGTGCTGGGCGGGGGGCACAGAGCCCTCTTGGCTGACGACCCCTGGCAGGCCCCCAGGTCATCCGGGGAGTTCTGGATGACGAGGACATAATTGCCCAGGGCGTTGGCAGAGAGAAACAGGAAGAGCGCCCCGTGCAGCAGGGCTGGCGACAAGAGAGGGGTAGCCGAGGGGTCCTCGCGCATGCTGGGCAGGAAGAGGAAGAGCTGCAGCACGAAGGTGACCAGGGAGATGCACAAGAAGTAGGCAGGGGCGACCACGTTGAGCAGCCTCAGGGCTAGCATCCTCGATTACATTCCTAAGGGGCGCGGGGGAGAGGGAGACTTGCGTTACCCCGTCGGCCAGGGGGCGCTCTTGTGAGCTTCTCCTCCCCAGAGGCGGGTCCCCGGGGCAGCTCCCAAATCTACACCCCCAACCTCTGCCCCTCAGGTCACCCCTGACCACTTCCCTAATCTGGGCCAAACTAGAAAGAGACCCTGAAGCCACAGCGGGCTCCCAGGGCCAGGTCCTACCTCGGAGGCTATGCCCTCGGATTCGAGCGACCTCCGCGCCCTGGAATTTTGAAGTCAGGTGCACGGAGAGCGGGATTTATTCGTTGTCTGCCCGGGCTGGGGGCAGGCACAAGATAGGGCTGCACTTCTCACGGTAGTGAAAATGAGCCCTGGTTTGGGATTTCTGCTTCAGATCTTCCTAGGAGGAGAAAGCGAAGGACTTGGGATGGGGACAGAGACATGTGCCCTACTGGAAGACCTCCTTTACCTCCCCTTCCTCCTCCCCCAACACTCATCTCGAGTAATTTCAGGGACCTCACCCATTCCGCGGGCTCTTTGGAGGGTTATGTGGGTACGGGCCCTTCGGGTGTTCGAGTGTTTCTTTGTGTGTGACTCTGTACGTGTAATCTGTGCGCGCCTGAGGGTCTGTGTTTGTGCATGTGCATGTACACACACGCAGCCGCTGCCACCTGGCTTTTTACTTTAAAAGATCAATTAAAATCAGCACATTCACAGGCCCTCAGACCCAAGGCGGGGTGGGGGCGCGGGCGAAATGCCGGTGCCGGCGAGTCCCGCTCAGCCCACCTCTCTAACGCTGGCTGCCCTGGCTGTGTCTTTGCAAACAGCATTTTCCCTTGAGCTGACGAAATTAAAATCCACTCTTCACGCCTGCCTCTCGCCCTCCCGGCGGGAGAAACCCAAACAATCCCCATGGCGCTGAAACCCTTTCGTTGCCGGCAGGCTCGCGCTGGGAGAACGAGAGGGTGCTCAGCCAGCGTTTCCAGGGATCCACCCCCCACACGCCCACCCAGAGCAGCCTCCTCCACACCCGCCCCAACCCCCAACCTCCAGCCCCCACAACCCAACTTGGGAAGCCACCGGGCAGTAGGATTGTGTGCACCAGAGACAACTTTTCCGGGGACTAAGGAATAGGACAGGCGGAGGCGCGAGAAAAGTTTGAGAAGGCGGCTGCACCCAGGAGGGGCCCCGGTCCAGGATGTCCGGTCCAGACTGAGGGGCTGGTCACCTTGGAACCCTCTTTGCAGGTGACAGTCTCCCCCAACCTCGGACCGGGGCTGTGGCGGCGAGCACAGGCCGCCATCCGCCGCCGGGGTGCAGCGCAGGGCGCGCGGGAGAGTGGTCGCCCGGGGTGCGTACCCCCGGGGGCCCGTACCGCCCTGGCCATGCGCGCAGGGAGGCTGCGGCGGCGATGCCCACCCTGAGAGCCCTTGGTCCCGGGCTCCGGCAAAGCAAGTGTCTTCCCCGCTCCAGTCGCCAGGGGGGCGCGGGAGCAGCCTCCAGATGCGCCGCGGCTTGGGAAGGAGAAGGACAGGGGCCGGGGGAGTGAGGGGCGCTCAGAGGGCGGCGGCTGCCCTGGCCCTGCCCTGGAGGGGGCGGCGGACAGCACCCCGGCGGCGGCGATGTGGGGGTCGCGGGGGGTTGTCAGT